ATAATCGATTTCACTTTAAGACTAAATTTCGTTTATGGTCACCGGCAATGACCAAGCCGATCAAGCAGCCAATATGGCAAGAAAGCCAGAAACGACACCGTGAAATCAGTCAATGAAATCCCAGAAAAAAAATAAGGAGGGTGTGCGAAAAAGATGGCAACAAGTGAGAACAAAAATAATCAAAATTAAAACCCACTGTTTAAAATAGAAAACATCTCACCGATTGTTTAATAGAACCTCGACCGATCCTAGACTAAGAATTAGACATTGTGAATTTTCGCTCGCCCACCTACGAAGAGGACTTGATCCTCCGACCTGTGAGAGTTGTAATGTCCACAGGACAGTAAAACATATTACAGAAAATAGCCCTCTATTTGAAACTGACAGCAAAAAAATGGACATGGCACAAAGCCTATAAGAAAATTTACAAGACTGCGAATTATCAGTTAAAAAAACATTAAGATTCTTAAAAGCTGTGAAATTTTATTACTGAGTTTAATTTAAAGGTATTGCCAAAGGTTTTACTACAGGGTGGAGCCAACAAAAAAATAAAATAAATAAATTTCGTTTGCCTGTTATTTATCATATCAACAATTTTTTTTTTAAGAAACAGAGTATTTAAAGAATAACAATAGTGATTTGAGAATAAAATTTTGTTATCAAAACTGTGAAATTTGTAATATAAACTTATATACAGTAATGTGCATAGTGAATACCCCGTTCCAGAGGCGGATCTACAGAAGGGGCTTTTGGGCTGAAACCCCTTCCAAAATGGTAGAATATAACTATGCTTTATGAAAAAAATTATCTCTGAAAGTATTATTTTTCGTTCAATTCCATTTAATAGGGATAAAAGAATCACTTAAACAGCATTTTATTAAGGTAGTTAGTTTCTTTCTTTCTCCAGAAATAATTATTCTAATATATACATCCAAAAAAAAAATAATAATAAAAATAAAACTTTCGGACTTAAGCTCTCTCCCCCAAAATTAAATCATGGACCCGTTCTATCACTATATACTATGTTCTATCACAACTTCTGGGAATAAAAATCGAATATTGTGAATTTGAGATCTAAATCTAAAACTAAAAAAAATCTAAATTAGAAGAATATATTTTTTATTGCTTGCAGATGTATTCAAATATAGAGTGAACTATCACCTAATGGAAAATTACTGTACAGCTGCTCAGCTTTATTGAGTTACTACAACACCCAGCATACTCATCAGTCCCAATAGGTAATGTTCAATGAGAGAGGACAAAGGATAGAGTTATGCAGGATTATCATTGAAAGTACCGAATGTTATCCTTTATTTTCTTATTGCTACACTTAATTTTCTTCTTTCTCACAACTGTCCGTAGAGCTCACAAAAAATTGCCCAGAATCAATATATGTGATGGTGCAGGATTCCCAACTAGTCAAAAATTATTGGCAACACCATATTCTTCAGATGGCTTCTTTCCACACCCAAATTCTCCAAAAACACACCAGTTGAGGGTGGAATCGCTCGTCTACTCTCGAACCACAGTACTCTCTTTTACCAAATTCCTCTGTATTTTTCTGCAAGTACGGAATACATTTTTTATATATCTCCTCTTTTCCTATATGTAATTTAAGATCTTGATCTTCATCGTTTGTTTCAAATCATATTGTTGGATCGACTATCAGAGCCTCTTTTCCTTTCGTACTAAAGGTTAAGAAATCTACAAATCTTGTAGATCCTTCCGAATCTATGCAATATACTTCAAGGAAGCACCTATACTTTTTTGTCTCTTGGAATTCGGCAACTCGATGCTTTACATTATTGTGCCGGCGGGTGACAAGCAGCATGTTATTCGGACATTTATCCAGTACATGACTGGGGTTTCTGGCTCTGGGCCACATTTACGGCAGAGGGGTACATTTTACAGCATAAAAAATACAAAAAGTATTTTAATAAAACATAATATGTGTAATAGTAGTATAAATACAAGAAGATGATAAAATTACCATATTATAAAACGTAACGAACGAAGAGACAAAGATTAACCAAAAAAATTAATAATGATAAAATATTTGGAATAATTTGTAAGTTTATTTATTTATTTATTTTTATAGAGTAAATAAGCTGAAAACATTTTACAAAATCTGATAAATTATTAATTACCTCATGTTCAGTCTGTTAACCAGAAGAATTTCCATTAAGATAACTCCTATTTTTACTGACTGTACCAGAAGGGACAGATTTGTATAAAATATTAAAACTAAAAAAAATCATTTTTAACCCTACTGCTTCTCAGCTTAAGGGCGGGCGTCTGCTTAGCTCATTCTCTTTCGTTTTTTAAAACAATTTCAATTATTAAAAATCATCCATGAAAATTCACAAATGTGAGGAATTATGAAAATAATAGAAGGGGAATAGCTAATGGAATGGTGGGATAATTGATTTTTCTCGTAGTGGGAATCCGGTTTCTTTCGGGAAATTGATCTCTCCACTATCCTTTAGGTTTTTGACGTGCCCCTTTATGAATATTTAATATTTCACATAAGGGCGATTTTGTATTCCTCATCGCCCTGAGCAGGGTCGGGGGATTCCCAAGTGATAGGGAAGTGGGTGTGTGTTTTTTCTAAATTCCGTAGGGCTCTCCCTTTGACGAGGGTTGGAGGCAGATGATCCACATGAATATGGGGGGACATTTGGCCGAAGACGTCATCGTTCTATGATGTCATCGATTAGGAACGTCAAAGCTTCAATCATGTCAATGTTCAATTAACACATTTTCCGATATTGATAATATAATAAAAAAACGTATAAGTTATAAAAATGTTTGGGCGTCGAGAACTCTTGCTAATTTACGGTAATTTTGCCTAAGTAAAATTTCTGGCGAATCACATTATTCATTTGTTGTTGAATTGAAAATGACTAATCCCACAGCAAATTTGTTTATTACACGTATCTGCAAAATTCGTTTATTCTACGTATCAGTAAATCGTAAAAATTTTCATATATATTAAACTGGAATAAGAACGGTTAGAATTAATATATGTTGTTGTTTATGCAAGCCGTTGTGGAATGATCACTGTACCGTACTTCTAACATTTTTATAATGAACCACACACTTGATCCTCAAATCCTATTTTTTTTCTTTCTCTAACGTTTCAGCCCCTTAGGCGATCTGAAAGGGGGAAAAGAACTTTAATTTTCGTTAACTATTTGTATTTTCGTATTATATTGTTTCGATGTCTAGGCGCAAAATATCTAGGTCATCATCGCCCGATAAACCAAATAACACTACTTCTATACTGTCTGGGTGGTTGGTATAAAAAATGAGAATAAAAATAAAAAGGATAAAAAAAAAATAAAAAAATGATAAAAAATAAATAAAAGGATTGATAGAATAAAATAAATAAATAAAAATAACAATAGACACTTCTAGAAGTGTCATAATAAGATAGAATTGATAAATAAATAAACTTAAAAAAAATATCAATAAATGAATTGAAATTAATAAACAAATGAACTTTTAAAATAAAATAAATAAAAAATAATAATAAATCTGCAAAGGATTTATTATTATTTTTTATTTATTTATTCATTAAAACTATTTGTGGTTACGTATTAATGTCACATTTTTTTTATTTATATCGCTGATGGAACAGTGAACAGTCCAATCTAAGCATATACCACGTCTTCGAAAATATTTTCCGAAAATTAACGAAACTTTTCCGAAGCAAATAGCCAGAAGTATTTTTCTTATCAATTTTGATACTTTACAGCAAATCATAAAATTTTATAGACGAAGTAATTGGAATTATTATTTTATAAATCGCGTTTGTTTTTATCGTAAAATTCTTTAATTTAGCTTATATTATATTGTGACTTCGGTCGCAAACACCTCTTTCTGACAAGATGACGTGATAAAAGAGTTTTCTAAAACGTTACAGTCGCATCATCGATCCACAAAAGAAATAGGCAAATCATTCCAAAAGGTTTGGTCTAAAGGTTCTAAGGCATTTTTTCTCTTGAAAATGGCTGAAATTTCAAAGAAAAAAAATATTTAACCTAAGGATCAAATGTGTTATTTTATTATTATAAATAGAAACAAATCGTAACCAACTGTATTAAGATAAATTTGCTGGTTTATTTAATTTTTTTTCCATTTGATTCCCATATAACATATATGACAGTGAAAATGTGGCAAATTTATCTACTAAAAATGTATTTTTATGTTGTGAAAAAAATTATATTAAGATGAATATTATTATGAATGAAAAAGGACAATGAGGTGAAATTTTCAAAATTGTTTGTTAATATAAAATTGGAAAAAAACACCCAGAAAAAAAAATCCAGAAAAGTTGGACTAGGAGTCCGAAATGTCGACAAAAATAAAGTAAATAAAAATTATGAATTAACAGAATAGACCCAATTATAAACATTTAAAAAATACAGAATCATTTTATGTTGATGAACATTTTAGCTACGAGTTTTTTTATGCAGTTAATAAAAAGCTCTTGAGCAGCCAGGTTCTCGATAATCAGACACAAGCACACTTGCCAAAAATCTTGATAATTCAAACAGATGTGGCAAGTTTCTTAACTCAGCATTAATCCATTGTTGGTTACCTAAATGCTCTTCAATTATCTCAGCTCAGAGTTACATCGATGAATTTAGGAATAGTCTCGTGGATTTCCGATGCTCATCAGTGTTCCCGGCGTTGAGTTTAGGAACTTGCCCATACAAGCGTAGATAGATTAAAACAACTAAATTTAGAAGATAGAAAGGGAAGGTTAGTGATTGCCCTGCAAGAATAACAATTTCTCGGGGCTGCTATAGATAGAGAGAGCATGGCCCCTTGGGGAACCGCTCACAAATACAGAGCTAGTCCATTAGTTGGAGAGGGGAGTGTAGATGCTTCGACTGCCCGTCTCAGTTAAAAAATAGAAAATCTATCGCCTTCTTTTCTCTTTTATGCTATTATTGAATGTCTCCTCTTTGGGCTTAGTTGTCGAGGAATCTCTCTTAATCGCTATTTATGACTCGCCTATGGCTCTGCAAACACCGAAAGCTGTTATACCAGGATATCTCGTATAGTACGGCGCCTAGTCCAAAGAGGTTGATGTATTGTCGATGGAAAACGAACCATGTCCCCAGCATCGAGCCGTCAGATATGTCTATGATCTGCAACCTGTAAATATACGAACGAATAATAAAAAAATATAAGATATTCTTACCTGCACATTACTTCGTGGGTGAGGAGAACCCTACACATTTCAGGATTCTTGTCCTGGCCCTCGTAGATAATGGCCTAAAACAACAATATATTGCTCAAAATTTTGCATCTTGTTTTTATAATTAATTAATAATACAATTAATTATTGAGAATAATATATAAATATAATAATTCGTAATAAAAAAATAGAGAGAAAACACAATTCATATCTTAAAATTTCAACCAAAACTTTAAAGTTTACTCTTATATTATTTAATGTTTATAATTTACTAGGATTCTTAAGAGTCCAAAACTTCGGATTCTGTCCATCTTCAGAAACATTACTTTTCACTTCTTAATGTTTTTCCTTTATATCCTGTTCTATTAATGTATGTTATTAACATTTGTCTTTTTTCCTATTCTATTTAACAGTTTTATACCGTATGTAATAATGAAAACTGATTAAATGCGGCATAGAATTGGCAATCTCGTCATGTAATGAAAAAAATAACTCAATCAAAATTTAAGTAATTAGCTACAAATTTTAGTCTTCTGGTTTTATGTCCATTTCTTCAAGGCCTCTCTTGGCGTTCACAAACCAAGAATTATTGTTTTTGTTCGGAGTCAAAGTTTAGAAAAATTAATTTTTTCCATTGGCAATTATCTATCCATCGCATATGACTGTAAAATCGGGCTCTCTTTTACTTATAGTACATATATTTTAAAATATTGTTTTGAATTTATTTATTTCAAAACAAATTAAATGGGTCAGCGTTAGAGTAAATTCTTGAGACTCATATGTTTATTATTCTCTTTCTATTATTTCTCTCCTATGTCCTTTATCTTATACCATTGTTTAAGGCTTAGTGTATTCTTGTATGCTGTAACGAGGTATGCTAGGGATGGATAACGACATTTCATTGGGACTAAGGTTGAATAACAGTCTACTGAAGGGCAGAGAGGGGCAGTGAGGCAATTTGTTGGACGCAAATAATTGGAGCGATAAAACTGACCGGAGCGAGGTTGGGGAGAGTTAGGACCGGCCTGGGAAAAACTGATGAGCGCCATGGGCCATCGCTCAGCGGTCGACCCTGCACGTTGACAACCCGCCTCTTAGCTTCCTGTCATCATTAGTCTACTAATAGTCTATACTGTAACTGCTAATCAGCTACATTTATAATTTTATAAAGGTATCGCCCATATTCATAAAATGGTTATGCTCGTGTGAAGTACACGAGATATGGCTATTAAATATCGTGACTGATGTTGCAAAACATTTTATTTTGAATTATGATTGGAAAAATTACAACTACACTGGCTCATGTCTCCTTAATGCAGGGGAAGAACTGTTATTTTTAGTTCTTTAATCCTAATCAACAAATCCTAATGAACTGCGCAATACGTTTTGTCTTCGGAATCTCAAGAGATACGCATATAACTAGTGTTGCCCAAAATCGGTACTTAGTTAGTTAGTATATGTTAATAATTGGTATAACCAATATACTTTTGCATTTAACTCCTCTAATTTTTCATTCGGGCTTACTTAGGTTTCTTTTATCTAAGAAATTACAGTAATATCTCTATAGTAATTAGCTAATAAGTAACTGCAAGACTGTTGTGAGAGTCTTGCGCAAGACCAAGACCATGACCAAGACTGAGTTTGCAAGACCAAGACTCGTCTCGGTCTCGCATTTGGGCAACACTACATATAACCCAGTATTACACCAAGTTGAAGTGGCTATATCCATCCAACCGCCATCTGTACTTCCTTGCTACCTTTTTATACCAAGCCATCAGAACTCCTACCTTCAGGAACCTTCCTATATTTTTCACAGGCTACAATTTAAATATTCCATTCAATCCCGTCCCACTAGATCCCGTACTTCTGACCTCTACCCACCTCCTCACCGAATTGCTGCGTTTGACAAATCCTTTATAATTCAAGCCGTCTCCATCTGGAATACCATCCCTCCCGATATCCGACATGCGCAGTCAGTTTCCTCATTTGAATCTCTCCTTTTTAAGCACCTACTTCTTTCCCAACCCGACTGATCAAGAAAAGTAGATAAGAGAGCTTTTTAAGTTCATCCAGACATGATTTTGTGTACTTATATTATTTTATTTTCATATGTTTGTATTGTATATATCTGTATATATTTAGTGTTTTTGTTTTAATTTTCTTTCAACATTTTAATTTTAATGAGAATTGTAAATATTTAATTTAATTTTATGGCCACACAGGCATTTCCTCTGTATCTATAATTTGTACTAAAGGGACAACAGTCCCAGGATAATAAAAATCTATTTTCATTTTTTTTTGTCCTGATGATGAATGAATTGGCGAAACGTTGATGGAATTTTTTTCTTTGTCTGTATATTGGAGATATAACGCTGTGTAGTTGGATTACTTCCATTTATAACTTCTTATTTACGTCCTATCTTTTGTTGTTGTTTTTTTACTGATTTATATTAATATTATTTATATTTCGATACATATTTACCATTATCACTTTCAATATACACCCCTTCTCTATCCCTACAGCACCCTAGATAGAATGTCACATTATTTGAAGTTTTCTTATGTCAGCACCTTCAGGACGCGTGTCGCTTTCTCTGTCAGCAATAATGTAAGTGTACTAATGTTAATTAGTAATTAGACCTTCAGTGAAGATGAACAATTCTATGAATATCGAGAAAAAAAAAACATTTGCATTGAATTTTGATGTGTTCATTCATTTTTTTGCTGTCGGTGAAGTTGGGGTATTCCAACACATGGATTGATACTTCGTTTCAGAATCATAAGTAAAAAAAAAAAAGAGATTCATCAATCTATATTAAAAGGAACAAGATTTGAGTCCGTTGAAGCTGTGAAAGAGAAAGCAGCAGGTCTCCTGAAGGAGCTGTCAGAAAAAGTCATCCAGCAATGTTTCAAACAATGGAAGATTCGCAAGGAGTATTGTAGAAAATAAAAATATGAAATAAAAAAAAAATTGAGGTATTAGTTTCTTTATTTAATAGCCATACATCATATTCCTTATCGCAAATTGTCCATTAATCACTGTATTGGTGTATGATTATTTTTTTATTGTTTTCTATTCCACAATGATCAAGTGAAATCGCTATTCATTGAATTTATACATGAAATCTTAGAGCAAAGGTGCTTAACTTAAAAGATGGACGCCGATTCTACTTAGACATTAGCGTGTTTCTTCTGATAGATGATGCAGATAGATCACGAATTGTATCTGTTGGTTTGGCATGATATTTCAGAACTGGCTGCACATAAGGTTAATGGAAATTTAACATTTAGAATTTTAATATTCAGCGTATACACGGTTAGTTACTGAAATAACTTTTATTTTTGTCCTCACGTCACCGTATGATTTAAAGCAATTAACTAGAAACCATCCTGAAGCACTACCAAGTCCATCATAGTTTATTTCGATTATATGGTGAAATTTATGATGTTGGTAACTCATATAAAATAAAAAGTATTTTTTTTATTTTATTCGGTGAATCCAATTAAATTGAGCATTTGTCCGTAATTTAAAACACATTATGATGGATTTGTTTGTCTTGGCCATTAGAATTTAGGGGAGGAATCAAAATTACATTAAAATGTTTGAATATCTCTGATTTAGATTGAGTTGAATGCTCAAACCAAATTGGAAAGAACTAAATAGAGAATTGTTTTTCAGGCGGAGAAACAAGAATTAAATTGAGAATGATAAAAGAAAAAAATATGAGAGGGGTAACCTTTTTATTCGTAACAGTGGTTTACGCACTCATTCTTTGCTTACTGTGCTCCCTAAACTATGTGATTTCAGTTTAGGAACTTACATATCCATTCATCATTTTGAGGCTGTTCATCATCACTAGAAACATCAGGCTCAAATATTCTTCTGTTATGTGATTCTTTGTAACATGGAACTTTTTTAAAATTATATTTATAAAGATGCTTTTATGGAAAGTTGGCACTACAAGGTATATCGATCATAAATAGTTTGTATTAGATGTACAATTGTTTTTGCGAAACGTAAACGTTTTGAATAGACTTGCACAATCAGGGTTCACAGAGACCATAAGTGGGTGATATGTTGAATTACACTTAGAGCTGAAAGGAAGGGTCCCAATAATCCCTGGATTAGGAGTAGGTCGGGGCTGGTACGGAGATCTATCTTGCAGTGGGGAAATGTTTACCCTGGCGAGGGGGGAGGGGAGGGGAGAATTTCATTAGCCACTGCCAACTTATTGAATAATGCAAACAATCATATGCTCTTGGAATCAATTTCCGATAGCCATTCCTAACATGTTTTCTAGCTATGACTCAAGTAGTAGCTACCTTCAGTACTAATCGTCTGATTATTTCCTGTAGGATTATTTATAACGTGAATTACATGACTTACTTCGTCTAACTTAAAGTGGTTTCTGAACTTAATTGATTTTAGTTTTAATTACACAGTGCCAATGCAGATACTTCTCACATTCGGATTTCCAATTATAAGAAACATCAGTCTGCAATCTTTTTCAGTGCAAGAATGCAATCTGTGGAAGAAGAATCTGTGGTTAAAAAAAATAAATATGAAGAATAACCTGAAATTGCAACTGAAAATTGTTGTGAATGCACGGCATTGTTCATGGGTAATAAGTGAGAGGGCATTCTTTATGTTGCTCGAAGTTGGTCAACATACATGGAAATTAGAGAATATGTGGATACCATGAAAACAGATGGAGTTGTAGAAAATAACAAAGAATAAAGTAGATACATATGCAGGCTGGTTAATAAGATTGAATTAATGGTGTACAAACAAATAAACATTAATTATTTCCATAAGACCTATTACCATTAGAGAATAACTAAAAAATACGTAATAAATATAATTATGAACATTGCTACCAAAAATATATTTTAAAAAATAATTAAGCTATATAAATATATATATATTTTAGAAAAATCTGATATTTTATTGCGTGCGGAAGTTACGCATATTTTACTTGAATAATTTTATTTCAACTTCAGCAAAAAATAACATATATATATATATATATATATATATATATATATATATATGTATATATATATATATATATATATATATATATATATATATATATATATATATATATATTTATATATATATATATATATATATATATATTTATATATATATATATATATATATATATATATATTCTTTTTTATTTCTTTTTTTTTTTGTGATTGCAAACTTCCTACTAACTTCCCAACCTAATTTCATTATGTATTTTGCATAATTTTAATTTTTTTTAATTTTTAGGTTATTTTATTTTATTTATTGTATATACTTTTTGATTATTATTTATTGTTACTTTGCTTCTATCTATTTTATATTTTTTGTACATATAGTGTGAATGTGATTCACTATGCTAATGTCCTACATCACTATAACTAATGTCCAAGTGACAGAGTTTTGCAAAATTCATTAAAAAAATAATAATAAACGGTACTCTTGAAACGTATAGTCTACAAAAAGCTTTCGAATAGTATTACCTGATGAGCAGTTAATGTGGACTAGATTGGATTAAGGGAGGCAGAGAGAGGTAGCTATGACGGAGGATGAATGAGAGTAGGTTAAGGGCTAGGCCGGTGGGTATAGGGGCCCCCATGAGGGCAGAGCCCCCGGGGGCCGCAGAAGTCTCCCTCGGGCACCACTTGCAGCTATTCCCTTGGGAATTGACGTTGGATTTACTTATCCGCAACTATCAACCTCCTTTTTGACGTCATAGGATACCCATCTCCCGTGGGGCTCTTAATGTGTCTCTAGGGATTTGAAATTTGATTTAAAAAAATTATATTATTCCGTTAAACGGGTAAAACTTTTTCTTACGAGGATACCTTAGAATTTTTTTTTTCATATTATTAAAAATGTCTATCCTACACTCCTTTTTAAAATCGTATTGATATAAGAAACATTGTAAAATTTACTAACTTCTCAGAGAAAACGAGATTTACACTGCATAACGATGTCTCTGTAGTTCAACTATTATAAATATATTTTATAAAATATACATATAAATTCACAAATATACATATTATTCTTGTTTTTTAACAAACATTGCCAGAATACCTCAAAAATCTAAAAATAAAAAACTTTTAAACGTATAAAAATCGTACTTTTGATTTTTTCTTACTTATGGGGAATAATGTCTAAAGCGATCATAAGTGGAATACAAATTCGCAACGGACACTTCAGCCCTTCAGCAATGACGAGCGATAATGCTTATATCTTCAATAAAAAGTTCAGCTGTAAAATCACTCCTTAATTTTAGTTTATATAAGCAAGATTTTTTTCAATTTGTAAAAAAAAAATTGAAATGTTTTCTTATTAATAATTTTTCCTGGAAGGATTGAATTTAAAAAAAAAAATTGTTTCTCTAGTTCTGTTACTTTTAATGATGATATTATACATAGAAATTAAGATGTTATTTATTCATGTTTAAATCTCTGTCTTCCCAGTCCGCTGTTGTTCCTCAAGGTAGTATCCTAGGTCCTATCCTCTATACAGTTTATACAGCTGACATCCCTACCTGTCCCAACACTGTCATCACCACATATGCCGATGATACATGTATCCTATCAGTAAACAATGACCCAGAAATTGCATCCCAAATGCTTCAATCACACATCATAAATCTAGAAGAATGGTGTCAAGACTGGAGAATTAAAATAAACTCCAATAAATCCCACCAAATTACCTTTACCCTTCGTCATAAACCAACGACTTCCTGTCCTACAGTTTCCTTTAACAATACTCCACTTATCCCTGTTGAGCAAACCCGATACTTAGGACTTCACCTGGACAAACGACTAACTTGGAATCCTCATACTAGACTGAAACGACAAGAAACAGCTCGACGTTTCCGATTACTTCAGTACTTACTAGACAAACGCTCTAAACTTCCCATTAATTACAAAAGACTCATATACTTGACTATAATAAGACCTATTTTGACTTACGGAGTTGAGCTATGGGGCTCCACTAAACCATCGAATTCCTCTCGCATCCAATCCTTACAATCCAAAATCCTTCGTAAAATCCTCAATGCTCCTTACTTTGTCACTAATAAAATTATCCATAAAGATCTTAATGTTCCTTATGTTTCAGATCTGGCCCAATCCAGATACCTATCCTTCTATAATAAACTTCAGAATCATCCCAACCCTCTCGTTTCTAACCTTGCTTCCTCTTCAATTCCTGATAAACCTCCGAGGCGTCTGAAAAGAAGATGGCCCCGTGATCTCCTAATGTAGTCATATCATTAGAGTCCTACCATTGGGTAGTTACTCAGCAAGTGTATTCATGTCATTATATCAATTATGACCAAATTTGCTTGATGTATTTATGTAATATAGTTGCAAATGTCATAAAGAAATTAAAAAAAAAAAAAAATCTCTGTCAAGAATCCTTAATAGGAGTTTTTAATTTTCTTGTTTCAATTTAAGTGGATTGTATTTACTGAACGGCTAAAAAAAAAACTTTAGGTTCCTTTAATTAATTTATTAATTTTTCGTTTGGGATAAACCTGTCAAAATGTGCTCCTCAAACATTCAAAATTACATCAAAATGTGTTCCCTTCAAAAAGTTTAATGGCTCAACTTGCGCCATGAAACACTCTTCTGGGCAGCTCTAGTTATGAATAGATATTTAAATTACTTCTAGTCGTAATATTCCGCTTCAATGAAAAATATTATGCTTTTTTAAAAATATATTTATTAAAATTTAATACATTATAATAAAATTATTATAGCCTAACGTATTATCTTTATGATCTGTTTAAATATCATTAGCTGTTAAAGGGTCGTATTATTAGTTTCACTTCAATTTTTTAAATTGTGGTGGTAGCTTGACGTGTGAGGATTTGACAATAATCTAAATTCCTTTTCGGATCAAAATTTATTTCTTGTCGATTTCTTTATCATGTAAATATGTATATAGTATTATTTATTATTGGATCTATTTATTTTTTATTAGTTATTTATGGATATTATTTATTAGTGAATGCTACAATCACGTATACCATCAAGTTGATTTACCTTGACAAAGTGATACAAGGACGTAACGCAACAAGTTGATTGATCGTAACATAGCCGAGTGCTCATTACACACTCTTTCGTACTCAGCTCCCGAGCAATATGGAAATGAGCTTTTCATGAGGAAGTAATTAAAAAGACAGGAGGGCGGGAGACCAGCAGACACGTGGCCACCACGTGACTGTTATCACAGAGCCCACGTGTCGGCAGAGCAAACAGGCTAAACAAGATTGGGGTCGGAAGCGCGCCGCCTCCGAGATTAGCTTTTGTTCCTCCGGCGGTTGACCGGTTCCCGCCCCAAAGCTCTGCCCTTATCAGATAATGGAGGTTCTAATCACCTTGTCCTCGATGTAACCACCATCATTGAATCGATTTCGCGGATATAGGCAATATAGATTTATATGGCAACTGTGACGCATTTATTTAAATTAATGGATATAAACATAATGATGATAGGATGGAAAATTTTCAAATCCTTGTAGAAAGATAATTTAGACTACAGAAGTTTAATTAATTTTAATATATTTTGTTCTTTTTTTCCCATAAAGTCCAATTTCCAATTGTTCAAAAAAAAAAAAATCTGAAACACTACAACCCAAGGAGGTTCTTGGGTTTCATATTTTGTAAGGAAATACCATTTTAAGGCCAACTGTTTTGCAGGAAGGTTATTGGGCAGAGATCACGCAAGTCACTCAGGTTGTCTCTCTTGATTAATTTTAACTGTAAACTATAAATAACGGTAACTATAACCGATGATAATCAGTTATAGATTATAACACATAATGGGTCTGAGATAGCCAGGACACAGTCAATT